CTAATGTTGAAAATTTAACGAAGTCGGTAAACAGGAACTGGATGAGCGACAGACCTGAAATCGAATCATGTGTAAATGCTTTATATTAAATATCAAGAGGCTGTGAGAAAACGGAAACGAAAATCTCCTACCCACACCGTACAATCAAATTGGCAGACAGCAGTTCAAGCGTCGACAGCTGTACCAGTATATACATGTCGGCGCAGGAAACATAATTGACAGACGGTAAGTATTCATTTTTAACATATCCCAACTGTATTCTAGTAAATCAATGTTATGGATTCAAAGTCAACATCCAAAGGACCATACTTACAAATGTCTGGCCCTTTGCAAGCTTTACTTCACGTGAATTTTGACTGAAGATAACCACACTACCCGATGAGATGTGATATTTTTAGTTTTAAGTCACAAAAACTTATATTTTCTCATTATAATAAATCCTTTTATCATACGATTCGTAAATGTCAACATTTCGTCATTTTATATTCCAAACCATACCTTCAAAAATGCTTTGAAAGTTATAGGGTATTTAAGTTTGAGTGAAATTTTAGTAACGTACAAAATCATTAAAATGATTAACAGTCATCAACCACAAAGATTAAATAAAACAATCTTATTAAAGGTTCGTTATGCCGCATTCTTTTTTAAATCTTTAGAAAAAAAATATAAACTAAAGTAGCACTAAACGTGCAGCAATGTGTTATGAAGGGAGAAAAATGTAAACAATGTAGTACTTTGACATCCATACAAAATGATAATGCACTATGATTATACCATTTGCAAAAAAGGACAGTTCAGAACTGTAACAAGATCCCAAGAATTGAACAAAAAAAATAAAAATGATAGGATTTCCGAGGCATAATGTGCCATTAAAAATGCCATAAGATGATTAAGAAAACATGGAAGTGTGTCTTAAAAATGCTTTTTATTGACATAAAAAAATGGATGATACTTTCAAATAAAGTTTACGCTATTGAAATGTATTTTTTTCCAGTTGTAAATGCCTTTCAGAAGCCTTTCACTACTTATTTCCCTTTTTCGTCCTATCTTTCAGGTTCCAACGTTCAATGGTTGATATTCTGGCATTTACTACTTGAAAACTATTAAATTCTCTTTAAATTTCTCCTAATGCTTTTATTTTATCGAACATAAATTTAAATTTTGTTTTCTTTTACATTAAGATTTTTTGAAAATTAATTATTTTAACATTTTTTTCCTCTTCAGTTTAATACTGTCTATTAATTTCAGCGTTCATTAAAGTGATTATAGGTAGGTGATCATTACCCAAAGTATCATCTATGACTAAAAATTCTGATAAAATAAATAAATTTGATGAAACTATGGAAAGATCAATCGCGGAGTCTATGTGGGAATCGCAGTTACTAACTGTCGTTACATTTGCGTCCGTCATTTAAATAACAATAATTATAGTCAATTAAAATCTAGCAATTCCTCAGACTCAGCATCCTTCCTATCGTCATGATTCCAGCATGCATGTTTAAGATTTAAAATCTCCTACTATTATAGCATTGTTTAAGTTATATCCATAAATATCTTAGTTTATCATACGAGTTAATATTTGATAATATGTGCATAATAGTTTATAACGGTGAAATTTTCATTTATTCCTATTACTTCTATAGCTACAAATTCTATATTACTATCATAAATATACCCCCACCACAAAATGTGGTTGGGGGGGGGGGGGGGGGCTATAATGGATTCGCTTTGTCGCGTCCGTCCGTCCGTCTCAATTTTCGTGTCCGCTCTATAAATTCTATACCAATTGAAGGATTTTCTTCAAACTTGGCTTAAATGTTCACCCCAACAAGGGGATGTGCAGAACCCATGTTGCCCATGTGTCAGATCAAGGTCAAGGTCACAATTGAAGGTCAAAAATCAAACAATGAAATATAAGACAGTATGTCACACTTGAAGGTCAAAAATTGACTTAGAAAATGTTCTTAAATTTTAACATGTACTTGAATATTTCTGAAACTAGCACAGGTATTTGCTTGAAACTTGAAAAATATATAAGGTGTCACAAATAAGATATGCAGGTCAAGTTTCATAACTCTGTATTGCATTTTGACAAAGTTATGTTCCTTTTTAAGTCTTTAAATTTACATACAATCAATGAATACTAGACAATATGTTATGTCCGCTCTATAAATTCTATACTATTGGAAGGATTTTCTTCAAACTTTTCTCAAATGTTCACCCCAACTGGGCAATGTGCAGAACCCATCTTACCCTTGTGCCAGCTTAAGGTCAAGGCCACACTTGAAGGTCAAAAATTGACTTAGAAAATGTCTAGTAAATTGGGAAAATGAAAGGTTATTTGTAACTGTTTCGAACATGATTTGACAATATATATTTATACTAATACCTGTACAATTAGTCTTTTTTCACCAGAGATAATTTCTTTTTATGTATATATATTTGTGCCACTAAAGTTATCCTCTTAGGCTCTTAACCACCTTTCCAAGTCGTCTTCTGTCAAGGACATTGGTGGGGGTATGAATCGCATTCAGCGATAGTTCTAGTTTGTAATCTTTTCTTTAAAAGTTATATCATTTTCGACATAATTATATGCATACACCGCCGCCTGGGTGATCTGTAATCAGTCTTATTTTATAAACTGGCTTTTGGTAGCCTTTCAATTTAAATGGAACTTGTTGTTAAATTAGTTTAGTTTCATGTATACAAATTACGTCTAGCGGGTTCTTAAGATTATCTAAATAATTTTGTAGTTCATTACAATTTATACTTTTATCTGCTTTCATTCCATGACAATGTTCGTTGTAGTCAGAAATAATTGTCCTTAATTATGTCTTATCAACACCTCCAAGTATTGATCCGTTATCTTTACAACAAAATCTTTTGCATTTTCGATATGATTTGCCTATGTTTAAAGTTATCAAGTTTTAGAAAGTATGGCGAATTTTCAAACTGTCTTTTAATTTAGGAAAGACTTAAAATAGTCTAGGCTCGTCTGTTTATTCAATGTCAAAATTGATTATGTAAAGTTGTAAACCTCAAAAGAAGTTTAGCGTGTTAACTTGTACATAAAGAAAATTGAAAAAACAACAAAAAAAAACAACAAAAAAAACAAACAAACAAGAAGAAAAAAAGGAGAAATATAAAGTACACTTAAAGAAATTAATTATGAAGGCTAATCATTATTTATCGTCACTGCACTCCGCAACTTCTAAACATATAAAAACTTAAAATCACTATCAAAATTCTATAAAAAAAATGAAAAGTACAATATCTAAGAGTTGACCTATGAATATTTCAAGTTTGGAAAAAAAATGAAAAATTATAGTACCGTATTCAGTTAGTAGATTTAATGTAAAAATAAGAAAGCCGTTTGATTTTTTTTTCATCGTTAACACCCTGGATGAACAAGTTTTGTCACGTGACCACAAATGCAAACGCCGGACCCAATTTCAGGTAATTATTTGCAGATATCTTTTTTTCCACTGCGAGCACAAAAATAAGACATAGACCGTAGGACCCGGCGTAAATTAAGCTTTTATTTTATGTGAGTACACATTACTAGACTTTAGTAGTTTTTTAGAACACTTCGACACAATTGTTCTTTTCGCAAAGCAAACGCCGGTAGGTTTTACTTTTTACAATCAATTTTTTCCCTGGAAATACATGTTGAGGTAAAATAATAGAGAATATGTCTATTAAAATGCCATTCCCGTCCCTAACTCATTTATAATTCTATTAGCAAAGTTATATTTGACATAACCCATGTTATTCCCCGTATGGTCTAACTTGCAAACGTCGTTTTAACATGTAAAATATGCAAACGCCGGTTGAACATATTAGGACGTTTTCGGGAGTTTTCATATGGACATAATAGCAAAACTAAAACTGTTCAATAGAATTTCTTTAAACTTGGCATGTTGTTAGAATATGATAACAGAAACATTTTAAGCGAAAAGAAAATTGGGGTCACCGTTTTCGTTGTTGAGTTAGCTACCCCTGAATCAGACTTTTCTACTTATTTGAGGTCATTTCAAGGGCAGATAACTTAAACTTACTTAAATGAATTCTTGATTTTACTTCTGGATTATGTTTTTCTTTTTATTGTTGAGAACAATACATAATAACATGCAATTCCTTACATCGTTTCTGTTTTTGTTTTTTTTTCAATGAAAATAAAGGTACTTTGAATTCTTAAAAATAGTCCATTTTTTTAGAAAAAATGCACAGGTTAAAAGGAGAAGTTGTTATAAAAACTACCCACTCTAAGTTTGTTCTTGAAATTTTGCATATCAACAAAAACGAAGATAAGCTTCATGAAAATAGGAAGAAAAATTGTTTTGTTACCATTCATTGTAAATTATATGCCCTTGAATTTAACAAAAAGTCCATTTCAAGGGCAGATATGTCAAAAATGAGAACGGTGACCCAAATTTTTTTTCGCTTAAAATGTTTCTGTTCAACAAGCCAAGTTTAAAAATTTCTATTGAACAGTTTTAATTTTGCCTATATGTCTAGATCTATATGAAAACTCCAGAAAACGTCTTTAAATATATATATTTCTTAATTGCATCTCAGACAGGATTATCTACCGTTTACACCGGTGCTGGAAAACTCTGTCTTACACCCCCATGTAATACAAGTCGCGTGCTTTAAATGACGTCATTGGCGCGCGCCTTTTATGAATGAATCACGTTCTTAGGATGACGTCATTTTTCCTGTATGAATGAAGTTGTATGTTCATATGCTACTATAAGGAAAAAGTGCGTAATATATATATCAGTTTTCATAATTTCTGTTTTGAAAATATTTGACATGTAATATGCAAGAAAAAGAATCAAACACTGGCTGTTGGCATAGAGGGGATTTTCCAGCTCTCGGGTAACTGTTTAGCGGAAACTCGACAGATATTCCGGTCTGTACCGGTGTCACAATAGGGACTACGATGGGATACCAGACCGACCACAATTGCTATCTAAAACAACCAACAACTCAGAACAGAAAATATATACAAATTTATTTACAAGAAACGAATATTTATAAATGAAAAATGATTATATATGAAAAATCACTACGCAAACAAACACTATCAATGTATCTCAGCCTATTTCTCCAAACACTATCAACGTATCTCAGTCTATTTCTCCGTAAAGTTTCTGTCATGATGTTTCAATAAAGTGGTGGCGTTGTTGAACAAAATTCGTCACAATGGCGGGCATCTTGTATAAAATCTTATCAAGCGTAACTGTACTTCCTACAGTGTTGGCACAGTTGATAGGATCCTGAACAAGGGCATGCGTCACCCTTTAGCCATGGACATACGTGTGGAGGGCCCGTGTCATCTTTGGGTGTGTCCTCAAATAAGAAGCTACAAAGTATTAAACATGGTAAGTTCCATGATAATCAAACATAAGGGTATGCTAAAGTCCCTTGAAAAAGACTCGACCTTTGTCGGTTTCCAATAAAATAACGTGCTTCTTTGAATAAACAAAATGTCCACTATAGTACACCATACATTCCGTGGAACAAAAATTCAATCACATCCGCATAATACTGCGTTGCAAATATATTCAAATATACGCCACATAATAACCACCAATAAATAAACGTCTTCCAAAATCATGCCACTGAAGATCCTTCTCTAGAGATACGTTAGTTTTGATACGTTGTATTTACTTATAACAAAAACTGATGATAAATGAAATGAAGTAAGATGATAACGTAAATTAAATTGATTGAAAGAAATCATTACGATACTGCAGCATTTTACATAAAGTTACACAAATACGGTAGAACCATAATAAATTATTTATGAATATATATATAAGGTTCTTATAAGGTTTCTTTTCAATTTTTGCTACAGAATGTAGTGATGGAAAAAGAGAGCAACAGTTGCCGAAGTGAAAATCCATAGCAGGAAACAGGTCATCTTTCATTTGATCAAGAAATGGTGAAAATCAAGAACATCTAGAAAATTATAAAACAGTTGAAGAAGTTCATATATATAAGAAGGGACCACAATTTACACTGACATTATTTACTCATTTACAAATTACAAAGTGATGTTTTAGTAACTGTTCTATACAACATGATAATGTGAAAAGTCAACTACAGTCTTTTAAAGTTCATCGGAGTCTGAATCAATGTGCAAGATCTAAAATACAGTTACTAAATATATATTAAAGATAACAGCTTGACACTTCTTATGCAGATATATGTATAAAAGCAAAGGAACAAGTAAGAAAAATGTCATTAACCCATTACTTCATGAGCATTTTGTGAAAAATGGCTGTTTTCATTGAAAAGTCTCCCGTGACAAGTTCAAATTGCTATAATACTATAAAAACTGCTTCAACACTAATCAAACTTGGCACAAATGTTGACTGGACCATTGCCCTTGCAACAACATGCTCAGGCATAAATTTTCTGTTACCATGGCAACGAGGTGACATCTCAAAATTGCCAAAAATCACTATTTTGCGTTGATATTTTCCATCAAAATTTATTTCAAAGTGCTGCAACATCGCAATGGATTGAGATAGAGTCAAATGCTTTTCAGCGTTGGTTACACGTTACCTTATGATCAATCTGGGGTCATTAACAGCCCAAATTACAAGTCCAAAATTTTCTTGGCGATGAGGGGGACTCCGCCCCCCTTCAAACCCCCCAAACAGAAGGGGGCACTTCCCCCTTCTGGCAACCCCCTGATGTATCTTTTGGTTGGGGCCGCGCCGAAAAAGAGGTCACTTTTTTTAACAACATTTCTCAAACAAAAACAAGTGTTAGGGGCCTAAATAAGGCATTTTTTCATCATTTGAGACAACAAAAAGGGGGGGGGGGTGAAAAAAGGCGTTAAAAGGCGTGTATATGAAGTAATGGGTTAAGCTTATTTGATCTAAACAAAAATAGTATTACTATAGAAGGTTGTAATTGCCACCCAGACTTATGACTTATGTATTTTTGTTCAAACATTTTTATTTGACTGACCTTTATAGGAAACATGTAAACATTAATGTTTAAGTTTTTATGTGTGTTTCCAAAGAAAAATTGTAAGTTAAACATATATGATTTTTAAACATTGAAGTATTTATGAGTATCTTTGTTATGTTTATATGAAAGTTTAATTTTGCTGATGTAATTAAAAGGTTTTGCAAAATAAATGTATGTTCTGTTACATGTTAAAACCCCCTATGCAAAGAAAGGCGTTAGAAAAGAAAAAAAAATGTTATGAATGTAGGTAAAAAAATCGGCTGTAAGTCGGTAAACAGATATCGGCATCCGATATCGGGCCGACATTGAGCCGGGTTGCACATCCGACGTCGGGCCGACTTCGGATGCTGAAATCGGGCCGACATTGCAGATAATATCGCCCCGACATCGGTCCTATATGTAATGTTTACTGGGTAGTGATTTGATATGATAACTACGTATTTTAATGATAATAATATTACTATATTTGCACCACAATGATTTAAATAACTATAAATGCTTAATAACATTGTCTTATATGTGTATCAGTTTTACTATTGTATGGTTACTTGTAGATTACGATATATTATGACCTATGTATAAAAAGCAAATAAAATATGTTCTGCCCCTTAAATTTATTTTTAATTTATTGTCCTCATTAAAATTCTGCTAATAAAATGACCAAAACTGATGTTAGACATTATACCTGCAATAAAATTCAATTCAAATCAAGCAAAGTATACATGTCAAAAATCCTTTTTATATCACTATTTATTATTTCCTGATATTATCATACTAAACAATCATAAATAAAATGTTTCTTTCCTTTAAAATTCTAATTTATTATTAAATGTTAATTTCTATAAATCTCTTATATCTTAAAATTAACCTTTAAAAACAAACCTAAACAGCTTTTATCTGTTTCATTAACATCTTCTATATTGTGTGAGTTTTGTGAAACACTCCGTTTTACTATACATCATATATTGTCTGCATAACCGACTGCGTTTTAGCCTGTGCCCTTCTTTCAGCCAATCGCTGGTCATGTTAGAAAACGAGACTTTGACCTTTTATTAGTACCCGCCGAATTGTGGGTAATTTCTGTACATGTCTGGGAAAACCAACTTTCGTTTTTGCATCAAAAGCTCATGTGAGAAAATGCATTTTCAAGCGTAATTGTTGTTAAAGGTTTGGCTATTTTGTAAATAATTGTCATTTTAGTTTATATTATTGTGATTTGTGTACAAAATAATTAAGTAATACTTTCTGGTGTTTTACTTTTTTGAGAGGTTATTGTAGAACCTTTACAGTATAATTAGGTGACTTACCTATTTTGATGTCTGTAAACCAGGTCCGAATGCATTGACTTGCCTGTCTTACGAACTGTTTAGTTTCACCTCTTCAATGTTGCCAACAGCACCACAATCGTAACTTTTCGGCTGTTTCCGTCAGGCTTCGGATGAGGACTTCGAACACAATAAATAGAATTCATGAATACACTGAACGGGTATTCTGGTCTAGCCTACGCTAAGAAACAAAACATAAAAGTAAATGTTAATTTAATGCCGGGAGCTGTTGACTATTTTTTTCCAATATATCAAGTAAAAGTCAACCCAGATAGGTTAATTCATAAATATATATGTAAACAGTGCATTATTTATATACTTATTATAATGGTTGTAGAAACCGAAACCTGTTGACAAAATGGATTTGTTAATACGTGTGCATCAGGGGGTATATCTAAATTAAAAATTGTTGTCAGACGTATTTTTAGTCACATTTGTATCGAAACAGACTTTTTTCATGTGGATGTCAAATATATATTCGTTTCACATTATCGAAGATTACACTCCATGTTTCTGTTAACATCTGAAACCATGTGGTAAAACTTATTTCAATCCGTATTGTTTCTGAGGTTATTATGAATAATAGCCGAGAATGTTCCAATTGATAGCACCAATAGCTGCTTCTAGAGAAATCACTCAAAATTCCAATGGGCCCTTCGCCGTAACGGGTTACAGCCAATCAAGGTTATCAAATATATACTCACGTACTCAACCATATTTCGTACCAAGATCTGCGAGTTCCACACTCCTCCTCGTCCTATTTGAAGGTGTTAGTTTTGCTTTTTCAATTAACACTATAAGTTACGACACCCCCTCCCTTGTGATTAAGGGGTCTATTCTACCAATAACCACACTTTGTCAATCACGGGTCCTATACCAATGAAAGATGCTTCAACATTTATATTTTATATTTGGATGGCTTACTACCATACAAACTAAACAAGACCCGAAGGATGGTTTATATATTTTATTATATGTGTTGCATCCAAGTATGCACTCACAAACTCACAAACATCAAGTAAACATATATACAGTAACAATAACGATATTTGCTATTTAAGGCGTGGCTTAATCTATATTGTAGACTTGCTTACTTCATCCACCGCTACCTTAAGGTTAGAATTAATCAATTAAATCAATTACCTTAAATCATCAAAAGTTAAAATATAACAGCACAAACATATTGTAATAAAAATATTTTATTCGTATGAAATAAGCTATTTAGAAAGTCTATTGTTATACACTTTTCTCCTTTTTTCAGCAAAGTTTATTAACTGATGCGATTCACTCTACTAGTATTCAGTTTAATGGGCATCTGCTTTAACGAAGTAATGATAAATAGAATGTGATTGTTGATTGTCAAATCTTTTCTTTTTTTTCGTAATGTCACATAATACCAAACAAATTCAATTATTATCACAAACAATTAGCATTGTTATCTAGAGAATGATTTTTTCACACAAGAACCAATTATAAGGTTATTTAAAATAAACCAAAAGTGTTAATTTCTTAAAACAGATAGTGTTCTTACTCTGTTTCAAGTTTATTCGATTATTCCAGTTATTATAGCACACAATCTCAAAGTTTCAAATTACTTGGCTGAGCTCTACATTTCTTATCAGCGTTTTCTTTTTCGTTTTTGATACACTATCCCTGTATCAAATACCTATGTTGTTGTTGTCAAATATTATTTTGGTAATTTTGTTTTAAATTTCCGATTACACATCGCCATGAATCTCTCAACTATTTTATTTGCTTGTGGGTGCAATGGTATAATTCATTTATGTTTAAATCCCGAACCATCAGGAAGTTTTCTGAATGCGCAACTTTGAAACGGAGGTCCTTTGTCCGTTTTCAAAACCTTTTGATAGCAACATATCTTAAACATGGCCTGAGCCTCTAATCGCGTATTACTGTTTCTGCAGCTGTCGATTTGATTCTCTCAACGACAGGAAATCTAATGAAGTCACATATTACAACCAGTAACATGTAACCGTCTGGAAATTGTATACAAAAGTCACAACTGACTTCAAAAAACATCTCTCATGGTCGTAATGTTGGTTTGATCGGACCTTAAATAATTCTTGTTGATGCAGCTTGGCATACAATGCATGATTTACATATTTCTTCCATCATTCTTTTCCGTATGTGGAAACCAACAATATTCACGCAATTTGCATTTTGATTGGCCTTGTTGACCTTCATGCGAAAGCCAGTTTGTTTTTGCAGATTTTCTGGTATGCAGAGTTTTGTACTCCGTCTTTTGTATATGTATATACAATTGCAAGTTCTTTAATTTTATTTAAACTTTCGTAAAAACAAAAACTTTCATGTACTTTGCGTTTTTGAGTTTTCCAGTCATTTTTTTCTAACTCATCTTTACACAGTTATATACAGTCCGTTTCGGTAGCTTTTGCTAAAACTGACAGCTTCAAAGCATCTGGCAAGCGTTATCAATGATAAAGCTGGTATACTGCTCTGCTACTGTATTTGTTTTGTCCCTTGCATGTAGATGTCTGGAAAGATAATCCGATGTCATTATTATACCTGGTCTTTAAACTGTCTTGAAATCATATGTTGTCAACTTCAAACGCCATATCGTTCTAATCTTGGTCAATGTATAGTCTAAATATTTATTGAAGATTGACTGAAGTGCAGCATGATCTGTTATCAGTTTTAATTTCTTACTGAAATAATACAAATGGAATTGCTGTATCATGTTAACAGCACTCAAAGCGTCTCTTTTTGTTTGACATTTTCGCTTTTGTACTGAATTATATGCTTTGCTTCCATATGATACTATTTTGTCATTTTGAATAAGTATAAGTAATCCTGAGAATCCAACTGTACTTCTGTCCTTTCTTGGATCGAAATATGCCATGACCTTATCACTTATTAAGGTATCTTTCAATGATGTGAGCGATTTTTCTTGGTTGACAGACCATTCAAAGTTTACACCTTTAGGTGTAACTCGTCTCTATGGTTCTGTAAAGCTTCAAAATCCATGTATGAACTTAGACAAATAGTTCGTGAGACCCAGAAATGAACGGAGTTTGGATACTGATTTTGGTCTGTTCATATTTTTAGTGCATTTACTTTGTCAGAATTGGATGAAATTCGTGATGCCGAAAATACGTATCCGTAGAAATTGATTTTAGATTGTCCGAATAAACATTCTTGGTGGTTCAATGTACGGTTTCGATCTTGAAAGTTCAAAGATTGGCATTATGTTCCTCACGTGTGCAGAGCGCAGTAATTGGGTCGATATCCGCAAAATCAAGGTCACACCGAAATGTCAAATATTTAAAGTCTACAATTCGTGTCCGCACCATAACTTTTAATATTTTGAACTTGGCACAAGTGATCATCATTTTGAGACAATGTGCAGAGCACAATAATTGGGTTTCTATCCAAGGTCAATGTCACAATTAAAGGTCAATTGTTAAAAATTCTAACTTTCATTTCCGCTACATAACTTTTAACCGCTGAAGATTGAAATAATTTGGCACCAGTGATCACCATAATGAGACGATGTGCAGAGTGTAATAATTTGGTTGCTACCGCTAAGATCAAGGTCACACTTAAAGGTTATGTGTTTAAAAATCTACAATTCGATTCCGCTCCATAACTTTTAAACCGCTGACTTTTTAAAAAAAAAATAACTTGGCAGAAATGTTCACCATTATGACATAATTTGCTGTACCCAACATCCAGGTTGCCAACCCAAGGATCAAAGTTAAATAAAATTTATACATCTCACTAACTTTTTGACTTTATAGAAGATTTAATATAATTTGGCACAAATAATTACTCTCATGAGACTTATGCGTATAATATTCATGGCACAACATCAAGGTCTTGGTCTGTTAAAGGTCAAGAGGTACACATTCATGTCTGATGCGGAAGGGGGTTTAGCTGTCTATTAGACTGCCTTATTTTGACGTTTTTTACAGACCGATATAAAATTCTTCTTCTTATGACAGTAGCATTCACTCCGATAGCAGGGCAACGTGACATATTTTGATACTTTTTACCAAATTTTGGCATTTTCTACTTTGTTGTTGAGACGACGAGCATGCTTCTGGGATATTTTGATATGAACATTGCTGCGAACGTTTAGGTGCAAATCTCTTTGATTTACTGTTAAACTGAGGATTGCTCTTAACCCGCAGTTGTTGCTGCCTACTTGTATCAGTGACATATTAGCTGCTTGAGTTTTTTTTATATATTTCCATGGTTATAATTTTGTAAGTAAAATCATTAAGTGATTTATCCGGATCTTGAAAACACTGCATTCTCATTTTTGTGTGAAATAACACCCTGTAAAATCTGGCTTTTAATTTCTAAGTCAATGTCCGAAAGTACCGCAATTCTTAACTTTCTGATGTAATCTTGTTGCATCCAAGTATACACTCACAAACTCCCAAACACCAAATAAACATATATACAGTAGTAATAACGATATTTGATATTAAAGGCGTGGCTAAATCCATCTTGTAGACTTGCTTACCGCACCCCATTCTACCACACAAGAACCAATTATAAGGTTATTTAATATAAATCAAAAGTATTAATTTCTCAAAACATATAATGTCCATACGTTGTTTCAAGTTAATTGCATTGTTCCCGTTTTTAATAGCACACAATCTCCAAGTTTCGAATTATTTGGCTGACTTCTACATTTCTTACCTCAGCCTCTATAGTCCAAGAAATCCGTGCATAAAATAGGGTGAATTGTGCACCTCTTGTGAAAAGCATGAAACTTGGCACAGTTGTTGGTTGATACAATCCATTTGATTTAAGCCTGGGATCCGGATTGTGCAAATCCAATATGGCCGCCAAAATCCAAGATGGCCGCCATATATTAAAAATTTCAGAAAATTTTAGTATTTCAGCTGTAGTCATAACTAGAACAGTATGGATTAGAACCAATTCATTATAGTTCACATTGAATAATATTCAAGCCTCGGATCCAAGTAGTGTAAATCTAAGATGGCCGCCAAAAATCCAAGATGGCCGCAATATATTAATTTTTTTGGAATATTAAAGTTTTTTAGCTGTAGTCATTACAGATCAGTATGAAATAACACCACTTTATTATATTGCACATTTATTTGTATTCAGGCCTGTGATCTAGGTTGAACAAATCCAAGATGGCTGACAAAATCCAAGATGGCCGCCATATTAAAACTGTTAGAATGTTATAGTTTTTCAGCTGTTGTCGTCATTGCACAACAGAATGAAATAAAACCGATTTATAATAATTATTGTATCACACATTTATTTGTATTCAAG